GTGGTGGAGGATGGGACTATTGTGGGCCTTACAAATTATTGTTCATTCAAAAGATCCAAGGGTGAGACCAGGCAGAACCAGAGAGCTAAGAAGGGGAAAAATAATAATTTCAGCTCTCTCCAAGACTGTCGTAGCAAGATTTACTAGAGCAAGGTGCAACGCGAGGAAGAATGGCCTGAACTTGAAGGTAGATCCCTATATGATTCTGATTTTCGAGCAAGGTGGCAGACTCAAAAGAAGGAAGCGAAAGATTCCTTACAGATTGGGAATGATTTGGGTTTAGAGTCTAAAGGCTCACAAGTGTTTTTTATTTCGGAACATTATAGCAGTGGAAGTATTGACAGAATCATTAAGTAGTGAATAGTTTTTAGGGGACTAGAATATGATTTTTGATTATGGAGTTGGAGGTTCGGAGGGTCTTCGATGTGAAGTCGAGCAATTAGTGGCAGAAGGGCGGATAGAGTTTTTTCGAAGTCTGTTTTGTTCAACTCTTATCGTGTGGAAGCTCATGGCTTCGGAGTTTGAATTAGGCTTCTATGGATTGTGTCAGCTGGTATATTTGGCCTTTATTATAGTTGTATTGTGTTATGTTGTATTTCGGGCCAAGTTTAGCTTTTAGTCTGGTTAGTCATTTGAAAGTTGTTGTAGCTGAGATGATTAGGCTGTTAGTGTTGTGGTTGAAGGTTGCATTCAGTTGTTTTTGGTGTTTTGTCTATGTTGGGGGTGGCTCTAAGATTGTATCTTTTGTAATTTCTTATGTTTAATGAAATCTTAAGGCATTCATTTCCTCCTTCCTCTGATTAAGGAGCTTCTCTTCAAGCTCCTTTAATCAAGAAGGGGGTTTTTAACGAGGCCTTCAATTCCTATAAAAAAAAATTACTCTTCCACATATTAAAATTTCCCTTTTCTGGTCATTTTTCTCTGTAAAGTAATTAGCATATTAAATGCCTAGAGAAGGAGACAACAACGTTTAAGTGTTTGTCTAAGATGAAAGTACCACATCCTGCAAGCAGTATTGTCAAGGACTTAAGGCACACTCTAGGCACTAGAACCCGGATATTGCTTGCAAGATGCTGAAAAAGCATTGACAACAATGCCTGCAAGCAGTATTGTCAAGGACTTAAGGCACACTCTTGTTGTTGGCACTAAGGCACAATGCCTAGGTGCATGCCTTGACAACACTGCCTGCAAGTACATGCAGGAGTAAGGATTTTGGAGACTTAAGAATGTATACAATCGAAAAATGGATGGTTGAAATGAATGGAAACTACGATGCTTGTGAAACTGATTCTTCAAGAACTAAAAATGCCTTTCAGATTTTAGATAAAGTAATATATTTAACTACATGCCTTCTGAATTTCACCTTCTTGTGAGTTGGGGCCTTGATAGTATGGTTTCTTCTTATATGTTTCTTCATTTAAATTTTTGTAATATAGGTTTCCTCATTCCTGTCAAATTATTACTCCTTCCTGAATCCAATTGACATCATGTAATATGTTCTTCAGTTGCTCATCTTAATCACATGCATGTCTAGTTATTTTGCTATTACTGTTTTGGTTCTGTGCCTCTCTTATGGACCATACTCTGCGGCAGGCTGTTAAGTTCTGGTCTTCAAGGTCTTGAATGCATAAAATGGGCAGAGGCATTGCAGCCTGAACACATTTTAAGCCGCATACTATGGATCATGGAAAATACATTAAATCCACAGCTTATTGAAAAGGTGATACCAACATCTACAATTTTTGTCTTATGTAGAATTCCAGTAAATCTTTGGGACTTGCACATGTACAGGGAACATATCAATACCGTTAATATTATGTCTGGTTTGAGAATTTGAAGAATTCTTTTCTGTAGCGACCATGAGTGACTAATCTATACGTTTTATAGTTTTCATTCAGTAAAGGGTGGATACTTGAGGATGTTCAAGTACATGCTTGCTAGAGAATATTTGGGTATACTGAATGTTCATAAAGAAGAACATTTCATTTTTGGATTTTGTTACTGCTTAATTTAGCACCTCATGGACTCATTAATAATGGCCTTATGGTTGACGACGAAGAGGGTCAAGTTTGCTAAGCATATCAACTGATACACATTTATATACCATTTATTTTTTATATTTTTTATCATAAAAAATATATATATACCATTTCCGGATTTTGTAACTTCTTTTTTCTGTTTTTTTTTGGCGATGGAATCTAAAGAAGGCTTTTCTAACAGAGTGTTGGACTATTATTATCAATGTTAGAAAGTCAGAAGGAAGTTGAGCATACTCTCCTCTCACATTTGATGAAACTTGATTTAGCTAGTATACTGGTGAATCTTTTAGCTTTTGAGATGAGCAAACTGATGAATGACAGAATACCTGACAGGTACAATTCTATCTTATCTGCATCGAAAGGGTTGAAATTTAGTTTGAAATGAAACTTGTTTTTGGACTATTTACGAGTGTTTCTTATTTCTGCTTTTTTCTCCCATGTTCCATGTGTTTTTATGTTTCAAGTTTTTAAAACTACTCATTCAATTGAAAATTTTTGGGGAGACTGATTTGATGAGCATATATTCCCCCATCCCCACCTCCAAGCTGATCTTGCACTGGTTTGACTTCTACTGTCACAGAATCCTCATCAAAGAGCAGTTATGACATGCTCACAGTCAAATTGACATACCTATAATGTTCTGGCTAGTAGTAGTGCAGCAGTCAACAGAATAAACAAATTCCTAGATACCACATGGTCGAGATTTGCCAAAAACTTATTATGTGCTTGAAGTCGTCATTCTTCTAGTAATGTGATTGAGCTGTAGAAAATATTTTTCCCCTCGTTTGGCATTTTGTTTGCTTGTGGCTTTATGATGGCATAGAAAATGTTATTGAATGTAAGGCAACACTGAATCTGGAATTATCTGGTGGCAAACTTTCTTGTCTGATGGCTTTTTTTTTGGTGAGAAGTCTGATGGCTTCAAATGCATTAAAATAGGATAGCAAATTTTTTTCTTCTGAATCTCTGATGTGATAGTTATATTTGATAAGAAGTTGACTACCTACTAAAACTGTTTTCTATTTCTTAGATAATGGAATGCTAAATCCCTTGATGTTTGGTTTTCTTACAATATCAGGTACCCTGTTCTTGATGTTATTCTTCGTGCACTTGAAGCCCTCTGCGTTATAGATGTATATTCTCTGGAAATCTGCTCAAATAAAGAATTTTTCCAACTAGTCTGTGATTTGATTAAATTCCCTGATAAGGTTGAGGTAATTTGCAGCTCTCCTAGAACTGTAAAAACTGATTTATGATTTACACTTTGGACTTGTAAATTATTGTTTTTGTTGTTCTCTTTCTGGGTGCTTGAAGATTAATTTCTTAAATTGCATCTGGAAAGTAGAGTCTATATTCATTATTGTTCGTTTCAACTGAATACAATAAAGACCTCTTTGCTTGAGCATCATGAAATAAACTGTAATAGAAAGCCTGCATCAGGTGAACTTTTCTGTATTATTGAATTTAAATTTGTCATGGAATGCCTGCATCAAGTGAGCTTTTTTGTATTATTGAATTTAACATTCTTACTTTTGCAAGTATAAGGAATTTTGGTCTTTCTTCGTGGTGAAAGATTCTGTATCATGTGACGAACATCATTTGTTGGCTGGAGTTTTACACATTAAAAAATCTTGGATGATGATACTCGCTCTTAATTTGTCTTTCAGGTCTCCACCTCTTGTGTGACTGCTGGAGTTTTAATTGCAAATATTCTGTCTGATGTACCTGATCTAGCTTCAAACATATCACAGGTTATATTGTTCATATTTATTATCTACAGAAGCTTCTCTTTATCTATGAGTTATGACACTAATCTGGACTGTTAACAAATTTGTATCGACACCTTGGGGCTACCCAGATTTTCCTTTTTTGCAAGGACTGTTTGATATTTTCCCATTTACTTCTGATGATTCCGAAGCACGATGTGCACTATGGAGCATTATTGCAAGGTTATTAGTTCGAGTTCGAGAGGATGAAATGAGTACTTCTAGTCTACGCCAAATTGTACTTATTCTATTGAGCAAATCTGATGCGATAGATCTTTTTGATCACAAATTTGATGAGGACAAGGATTTTGAGAGCTTGGCCACCTCTGGCGGCAAATCAGATGCCCGAACTCTAGCTGTATCCTTTGGTTTGACTTTCAAACAACAAAGCTGTTGATTCCACGAAAGAAGCATCAGAGAACTGCCAAGTTATTGTGCTTATATATTATATTTATATTCTTGCAATATCTTTGGTTCCCCTGACCTTTGCAACAGCTTAGAAGGATAACCTAAACAAGTGGAATGCTTTAAGGAATTCTTTCGAGAAGGATATGATTGAGGAACACTCGACTGATGAAAAAATCTGTAGATTGTTAGGTATCTGTCACAAACAGTGTAAGCTCCCCATCCTCTCTGCAATTTTTACTTGTAGTAATATGTCACATAATGGTCCTAGATTTTATCATATATTTCGATATGCTGAGTTACCATGCTTGAGTAGAAGTCTGCCTATATGATTCCATTTATCAGTGTAGACAATTTCATTATCAGGTAGTTGTGCCTAGGAGACACTGACGCCTGATTTGGCACATTGTTATTGCTGCTTGCACTTTCTTTTTGCTTTCGCAAACTTTGTTATGTCATGTTACCGAACACGCATTTAATAATTTCATGTTGCAGATCCGATATTTCTAAATAATCATTCTTGGGGCAACTGAACATACAAGGCCATGAATCATTCATTCAACTTGTGCAGGAAGAGGTGAATTGTAACAGAATAGTTGAGTTGTCCTTTCTTATCTTTCGAACCAATTAACTGATGCTTTATGAGGTACATAACCATTAAACCTCATAATATATTTACCCTATATGTTTCTAAAATTAATAGTTGAGAAGGAAATCTAATATTTGAGTGTCATACTTGGGCCAAATAAAAGAAATATGATTTCATTTATTGTGTGTGAAGGAAATGGATTTTTACATACTAATTAGAACTTACGAGACAAATGGAAAATCACAGGTTCTAATTAGAGCCTGTTCGTTTTCCATTCATACTTAAACTAATAAAAACATATCAAATGACAACATAGGAACATTAGAGTTGAACCAAACCCTTTATTACATAAGCAACATTGTTTTTCTCATTAAAAAATGAGAGAAATTCCACTGGTCAACAGGTCATCTGCTAAAATCTTGTTTGCAGCCTCTGATGGATGAAATCCATCCCAAAAAACATATTCAGTTGCATTTGCACAGGTTCCAATGGATTTGGGATTGCACAATATTGATGTTTCCAGTAATCCCGTTCCACAACAAGCCTTTCTTGCTTCAGCAAAACCTGTTCAATCATTGCTTAGACCATCAGTGCCTTGTCTGGAAAACTTTTAGATTCAAATAAAGCAGAAAAAATAAGTACTAGCGAAATGATGTTGCACCGTTGTCAGATGGCTTAGTGACAAGGTTGTAGAGAGGTTGGTAGATGTCAAAGACAACCAATTTAAGGTTGGAAAGCTTTTTCTGTAGCTTTTGAGATGTTGCATTGAGTTTGTTATTGAACGAAACTGCATTGCTATTTAACTTAGCCACACACTCATTGCTATCTGACCCAAACACCGTTATGGCTGCTGGCAAGCATCCCAATGGTGGCAATGTTGACACTCCAATTTTACTTGCTCCTAGCTCATATAGGTTCTGTCACAAAACTTTCGAAATTAAACCAAGTAGTATATTTGCCAAATAAAAGCATATCCTGAGGATTCATAAATTTTGAGCTTTCTTATCTTCCGTGTTGGTTGTGTTTTCAAACAATATCCGTATAATGTATGCAACTACGGAAGTGTTCTTCAGGGTTAGATTATTTTGGATTTTCATGTTTTGAAGACTTTCACATAATAGATTTTAGCTTTTGATTGAGGAGAAAGTAAGAGAAACCTGTATGAAGTTGTCGTAGGATTCGATGAGAATATCCGAGAATTCGTCTGGTGTATAGAACTTGTATAATAGAGGATTAATGTAGTAGTTCTGAAGAAAATCACTACTCCCTGAACTGATAAGGTAGATTCCATCCGATATTATTGAAGAAGCATTAGATTTCCCTGCAATGGCCACCAGTTTATTCTGATACTCCTTGAAGTTCTCTAGTTGCTTACTCAATGACAGTGTATGCTGCAAAAACAAAGGATAAATATAAAAAATCTACAAAACAAATTATGATGAATCTTTGTTTCATTTTTGCATACATATAACTTTGATGTAGTCTCATAATAACCAGAAGAAGCTGATGCAAAATTGGCTCCAATCAACAGGTTATTTCCTTTAGCCTCTTCACTGAGATAAGCTGGTGGGTAGTCGGTGAAGCCAATGTTCTCAGCTGTGTTTAAAAAACAATAAAACAAAAGCAATTTAGAGAATGAAAGAGAATAAAAATGAGAGACAAAATCAAAAATGTTTTATGGGGATAGAAAAACCAGTAAAATCTGAGGCTAATTTTCCATTGCAGAATCTTCCTGTTGGTTTGTGATTCACAAAATCCCTCCCATAAGGAGGAAAGTCTGCTTTTATTATAGTTTTGAGGTCGTTGTTGTTTCCGGCGTCGACAACCGAGTCCCCGAATATGAACATGGCAGGAACAAGGGGCTGTCCACTAGTCACCGAGACCACAAACGCAAAGAGAATAAATAGAGCCATGAAAGACCGTGAAACCTTCATTTCCATAGTCTGTTTTGAGAGGGCTTGGAAATGGTAACTATGCATTTATGAAACGGGACGAAGTTCAATATATATACACTTTGTTGCTTCAATATGTTTTGATTGGAATTTGTATTAAAGAAGTAGGTTTAGTTACTCTAAATCCTAATCCCAAATATTTTATTTTATTTGTTACTATTGCAGGTGTGTTTAACATGTGCTAGTCTTGGAATAATTTGAGCTAGGATTTGCTGAGATGTTAGTTTTCACATTCAAAATAACCAAAGAAATGGGCATTAGTTCCAACTAAATTTATGTGGCGTGTCTTGAGGAGGTACATTTCTAGGCTGTCTTAACTTCTGCTACACACTTTTCCATCTTTTTTGCCCAAATTTCACAGCTAAAATAATGGATGTTGTGTCATGGCTTGAATCTTGGTGTTTGTGAATGGTACAAACTGAATTGGGTGGGTTGTCCTCATATTGTATCTCTATAGATAGTCGATTAATAGATCAAATATCGATGATTATAAATAATAATAATAATGGACCTTGCATTTACAAACGTGTAAAACCTAAATCTTCAATCACCGATCTTTTATTTTTACCTTGTTTTGTAGTGCGTGCCCTCTCATTTACTCATATCTGGCAGTTCCCCAATCACTTTAAAATACACAAACTCTCTTATTAAGCCTACAGGAAATGCAGAACAGCCCCCACTGCATTCACAATGCCCATCTTTCCCTTGTTATTAGTGATGAGTATTCGGTCAAATGATTCAAGAAAAAAAAATTGAATTATTCAAATTGATACGTTTTATTTTATAGCTCAAATTTCATTTGAATTTTTTTGAGTTAAATTGAGTCGAGTTGTTCGAGTTTCTCCTTAAATTTAATTGTTAAGATTTATAATATTATGGTACTAATTGATTATAATGTAAACAACTTTTTATAATCATATATATATATCATACAGAGTTGAGAGACTTGAATCAAATTTAAAATTCAATTCACTAATTATTAAAAGTTTCGAGTTATTTGAGTTATTCAAGTCTTATTTTATAACTCAACTAGAATTTGAAATTTTTTCAAGTTGAGTCAAGTTTATGATATTATGAGTCAATTCGAGTTTTGTTCACCCCTACTTATGAGTGAAACTACCTACTAGGTCCCTTTATTATGAGGACAAATTCACATTACTCCCTCTACTATTAAATAAATCTTTTTACAAATAAAAATAATCAAATAATACTATTTCTTAACAGCGTTTAGAAAATGACACCTAAATTGTTTCTTCATTTATCATTCAAGTTCTAACAAAAGATTTCATTTGTAGAATCATAAAATCTTTCAAGATATTTACTCTTTTAAACAGTCAATGACATGTTTTTATCAGTAAATGTTTGTTTAGAGAAGTAGTAAATGCTATCCTGTAAAAAAAAATTGACTTCATGTTAATTCATTTTACTGGTATAATAACTAAACCAATCCACAAAACAAGGTAAACCGGCGAATGAAGAGATCAAAAAAAGATACTAGTGGACTCGAGAGCATCCAAGTGGCAGTGACCACCGGAGGGTTGGATCAAGGACACTTATGGAGTTGTTCGCTGTAGTGATATGACAGTTGTTGGGAGTGGCGTTCTACGTAGTGATCAAGGGAATTGACTATTTGGTTTCTTCAAAAGTCTCGGGGATTGCTCTGTCCTGATTCCAGAACTATGAGCTGTTCATGATGTGCTTGTACATGCATGGAGACTTGGTTATCACAAGGTGTAAGTGGAGACTAATAATGCTAAGATTATGTACATGCTAATGTCCTCTTCGATAGCGGAAACAAGGACTACCCATGTTGATTCACTAGGAACACTTCTAGCTCAAGAATAGGAGGTCATGATCAATCTAATTAGGAAAGAAGTAAATTCGGTGGATGATATGCTTTCGGCAATGGCTCGAAGACACAACGTCGAATAAATGTTTTTTTTTTGTCAATCCACCGGCGGAGGTGGCAGCTTTAGTTTCTCAGGAGGCTGCCAGTTGCTAACGAGTTCCTACTGGTTTTGTTTCAGTTGTAGCAAAAAAAAAACCCATTTAACAATACAAGGATTTATTGAACCAGTTCTCATAGAGGAGAGAAGTTGTATAATTTTTTCCGTAAGTCCATAACGAGTTAGTCCTGAAGTTGGAGGGGAAAGAAACTATTCTCAGAAACATTAAACACTAATCAAAATAAAATCAATGCAAAATATAACCACACCATTTATTATTAGATTAGATGAAAATTGAATACCCTATTTGATATAGATTGTATATGTATTGTCAATGATTACATGAAGATTGATTTTGAATAAAAATAGAAAGAGACATTATATTTGTATTGCTTACTTTAAGACTTAATATATATATGTTTTTGTATATTTACAGTTACAAAAGTTAAAATTAGTTATTTTTTTCTTAATCTTTATCTCCTAACAAAATGATAATTACAAGTTAATTATCCAGTCCAGCTTACATAATTAATTACCTCTTCCTCACATTTTCACTCACTTTAAAGAGTACTTTTTGTCATGGACTCATTTTCTAAGATCTTTTTTTTTAAAAAAAAATTGAGTATAAATTTTATCTCAACTAGTCTTTATATAGTGGAGATTAAAGAGGAAATAAATTGAAATGTTAAGATTAAAGAGGAAAAAAATTGAAAGGTTAAGACCATTTGATGAAGAGTCTTGACAGTTGATGAAAAAACGGTTGAAAAGGAATAGATGTAATTATAAATTAAAAAATAAATCTATTCATCAAGTGACATGATTTATTATCAGTAAGTCTATTTATCAAGTGACGTGACTTATTATAAATAACATCAATATCGTTTAATAAATTAATTATCTATTTAACATTATATTGATTTAATATTTTTATATTTCATATAATAAGAGACATCTTAATTTTATATATTAACATCTAATTTAATATATAATATAATACATCATTTTCTTATGCGACACAATTGTATATCTATAATTTTAATTTTTTATATAGTTATATAATAAAATTATATTTTTGATCCAATTCATCGCATAATATTTATTCTTTCGTTTTTTAATTTCATTATTCAATTTATCAAATTTCTTTAACTTTTAATATTCTCTAATTTTAATTTAATTATAGAGTAATATATCATTCTTTGTTTTTTCTAATTCAAAATTAAGCTTCATATCATACACACATTCAATTTGTTTATATTTAGTCCCTCTTAGTTGTATTTAAGATGTTTTTTTAATAAAATAATAAAAATATGTGTTTAAAAAAATTTAATCATTTTTATGGTTTATTAATGTAATATTAAATTAATTATTCAAAGAAATGGAATATAATTTTCTTATCAACCTACAACTTTTTTCGTATAAAACCTCAAAAGTTGTTGATAGCTGTTTATTAGCATTATTAGGGCATAATGTTAAAAAATTATCTAACATTTGATTAAAAAATTATTTTAATTTTTATTTTGTAATTTAATATCAATATTTTATTATAAGATGGAAAAAAATTATTAATGTTTAATTAAATAATCACTTAAATCTTGATATTTTAAAAGTATTTTGACTCTGTCATTTTATTTTAAGATAAAAATAATCTTATTTTGACTAACCACTTTTATTCACGAATGAAAATTCTTAAAGAAAAATTAAAATTTTATTTAAAAAATTGTTATTTTATTTAGATGTTAATAATATTTTATTATTATTATGAATATTATAAGGAAAAGAAAATGTAGGTTGTAATGTTAATAGTAGTTGACAAAATGAAAATTAAAAGAATAATGGTTGAAAATATGAGAAGAAAAAGACAAGGTGAGTCTGCCCCACTGACAACGAAGGCACGATAGAGATTCATTTGAGAAAATTATTAAACAAATTGATTTTTCATTTTTCATTATTAACCCACGTGACATGTGAGCCTCGGGAAAGACAGCTCATTTTTCATTAAGCCTACCCCACTCCAATAGCGTCACGTTGCGGTATATTATCGATAGCAATTTTTTCTAATAAAAATAATATTTTATTCACCGAATAATATATATATATGCATATACATATCTATTAGGCAATTTTTTTACTATCGATCTCTGTTTAGAAAACTCGATCGGATCGGTTGGTTCAATCGGTTCAATCGGGAATCGTTGTTTAGTCCGGTTTAATCTAAATCGGTTGAACTGCTATTAGTGAACCGGTCAGAATCGCTGAACCGTTCGAACCGGACCGGCTGAAAACTGGAAAAAACCGGGGTTTTTAATTTTTTTTAAAACAAAAATTAAACCAAACAACGTCGTTTGTTAAACGAGTCAAGTCGAACTCGAGTATTGCTGAGCTCGACTCGAACTTGAAAACTTTAAAAGTAAGTTCAATTCAACTCAAACTCACAAGCTAAAAATTATCAAGTTAAACTCAAACTCGAAATATAATATTGAAACTTGAACTAAAAAAGGCTTGAACTCTAAAAAAATTAGAAGCTCGATTGAAGCCTAAAATTCGAGCTTGATTGAAGTGAAATAACAGTTATATAATTATAGTTATATAATTTTGTTATGATATTTTTAATTCCAAATTTATTTTTTATTATAGTTATATAATTATATTTATTATTTAATATGTTTTACCTTAAATATTATGTTGTAGTTAATTTGAATCATTTTGTTTCACTTGATTTTATGGTTTTTAACTTATATATGTTATGACTTGCTTTGAATATGACTTGTGATATAAAAAATTATTTTTTATTAAATATTTTTGGTATTTTTATTTAATTTTTTAAATAATTATGACGTCATCCGGTTCTTCAGACCGATCGGACCGATTTGACCGGTTGAACCAGTGAACCAGTAGCATGACTGGTTTGCTAACCGGTCCGGTTCTAAAAACAATGCTATCAATACTTAATATCTTTAATCAACATTTATAAATGCATACAAATTAAGGATTAAACATGTATTTTTTTATAATTTTGTCATTTAAAATTTTAATTTTATAATATTAAGTTTTTTTATATTATTTTCATTTAAATTTTTTGATTCG